ATGGCGGCGCATTTTTCAACAAAGGCGCGGTAGTCAAGGCGCAACTATTGAGAGCAAAGTCCAAGGCTGGCCACTGCCATAATTGCTGTTCCAACTCCTGCATTGTCATCCAAGGTAGTGGCAACTTGAAACAAAAAATTCGCTTGCGTAAACCTGGATGGAAATATGCGGACCATCGTGTTGAAGGTGCAAGGCAAATTATTTACCCTGTTTTCAGAAGAGTTGCCTCTCTTCCTGAAGGTGGTCCGATATCTGACGATTGAGACACAATGTTCATCAGCTGCGTCCTGTTGTATGACACATGGGCAGCTCATCTTCACAACACATAGATCCATCTGTTGTCATTCGCTAGCCTTTGCTGTGTGGCTTGAAAATCCGTTTCATCAATGCAACCACAGGAGCAAGCAAGACTGGCCGCTCACGACGAGTTTCAGGCCTCAACTCAATGCCATGAAGTGTGTTCAACCAAACTCGCCAGATATCTAGTTTGAATGGCCTATGTTGTTGTGGTTTAGAACACAGCAAGAAGAATAGTGCCAGCAAGATAACAAATTGGATGCAAATGCGCAATATCAGAAACACTATGTCAGCAACACAGCCACAGAAGAATGTACAAGAGGCAGTTGTTTTTTGAGGAACATCCATCGTCCTGCACAAAGCTCTTGTGCTCTTCTGCGGAAGGTTCACGTGTGTGTTGTCTGCATCCCTCCCTGTTTCCCTTTCTGGTTCATCTGCTTGTGGCTTGTCACAGGAGACTGAACACCTGCCATGGACAATGGCCTTCGGCGATCCAAGCGGCTCAAGGTGCTGCTTAGCAAGGAACAAGCTGTTGTTTCAAGCACGCCTTAGGACCACGCTATGTTGATCTGGGCAACCAGTTGTGGGTGTCAAATTGCTCAGAGCAGGGAGTCCGATCGCAAGTTGCTTTGGAAATAAATGGTGAAATCGTGTTGTGGATAAGATTTGTTGCGACCTAAAAAGACATTGTATATCCCGCCCAGCCCCTCCCACCCCACCCCCCTGGCAAGTATGTGCAAGACTCTTTTCCATACCGTGAAAAGATTTGGAAAAGTGCGTGGGAGAGGGCTGGGTTGGGAAGGATGGTCACCATGGAAAGGCATAAGGAATCACACAACTGGCGCAGTGGGCCCATTGAGCAATACCTGCTTGAGACTGTCTCTGTGTGTGCCTCAGTCCCCTGATTGTATATGTCTGAAAATTGGCAAAAACACTGCTATCCCTCTGGCGATTATTGTCATCTTTTGAGTGTGAGGCTGCTCCTCACAATGAGATGCAATGTTTGAAATTGCCAAGCTACATGGATGGTGTATGGCAGGCTGGGGGTGTTTCGTGGCGCTGTGCCCTACCTGAAGTTCTGCGACTAGTGCTGGCCATGGTGGAAGAGCACAAGGTCAATGTATTCCTCAAGCATGCTCGCCTTGTGAACCGGCACTGGTCGGCATGGGCGACAAATGCCACAAGGCACCTAGGAATTGGCTGTGGGCCTGATGATTGTGTGAAATGCAACAAGTTGTTAAAGACCTTCACAAGGCTAGAGGATGTTGCTCTTATTGGTGTTCGGGATTATGACCTGCTGGACATTCACCGACTGCAAAGGGTGACGCATCTGAAAGTTGAGTATGACAGGCATGTCATTGCCAATATGGTTCACTTACCCTTGGTGCAAGTGGGTGCTTTAACAACACTGGTTGCTTTGGAACTAGGTTCAGATGCCAAGCTAGCTTACCCACGCATTCCTATTGAGGACAAAGATGTGAATATGCTGGTGAATTTGAAACGTCTCACAACACTCGACCTCAGCCACAGCCAGGTTACAAGTAAATGTGTGGGAGCGTTGGAACAGCTACCTTTCCTCACTAATATTGACCTTAGTGGGTGTAGATTTGGAGATTCTGATGTGCAACAGTTGGCGGGCTTGACAAGAATTTCATCTGTGCAGTTGTGTGAGTGCCTGCTTGGTGACAATGGGATGAAAGCGCTGAGCTTGATGCCAAATCTGACTCTGCTGAACATTGGGCGTTGCCCAAACATTTCGAACGAGGGTGTAGCTCATCTTGGGTCTCTGACTAAGCTCACTGAATTGCATTTGCCCCCTCAAACTTGTGCCAGTGGCTTGCAGCACTTGGCTGCCCTGACTCCAATGTCATCCCTCTTTCTGAACCACACTGAAACTGCAGTGGTGCATGGCATTGGCGATGTGGGAGTGGCGTACCTAGTACAGTTTCGTTGGTTGTCTAGGCTTGTCATTGGAAATGATCCATTAATTTCAGACGTTGGTGCCATTTTGCTTGGGAAGCTAACTGGCCTCGTTGAGCTTGGATTGCACTGCACCGATGGTGCGAGGGACATGGTAACGGATAATGGGATCTTTGCGTTTACGGCGCTGACAGCTCTTGAGAGCCTTTCTCTGTCAGGCTATTATTACATAACCAGCGCAGGTCTGCAGCACCTGAGCTGCCTCACAAAGCTCAGGGTTCTGAGGCTAGAACGTCTTCCCTGTTTGTATGACAATGCGATGGCTGGCATGACATCGCTCACGTTACTTGTAGAGCTCAGCTTGCACAATTGCTGGAATGTCACTCATGAGGGTGTGACGAAATTGGAGCATTTGGCATCTTTGACCAAAGTGGATGTTGCGGGATGCCATAGAGTCAGCAATGCGACCTTGAAGTCGCTGGGGAAATTGCGTGCCCTTACCGAGCTGGACCTGACACTTAGGGGCTGGATCACAAATGCGGGCTTGATGCACCTGGTGCCTTTGCCGTTTCTCAGGCATGTCAACTTGCATGGGCGCCATGTGAAGAAAGGGCGTTTCGAGGCCCTGAAGAGGAAATGGGAAAAAATGCACAGTTAATCGTTGTTCGGAAGCGTTTTATGTTTATATCGCTGTGGCAGAAAGAGCGATTGTCTGTGCAGCGTTTGTGGCCCGGCATACATAGATGGCATGTGGTGAAGGCAACTAGAGAGAGGCTCTTTGATGCGAGGCGGGTGGCATAAACGGCTTGTCATCAGAGTTGCGACTTCTCACGACCTTGAACCATGAATGGGATATGACTTGTTTCATGTAAGATTCAAGGTCCCTGGCAATGGTGGATATCAGTCTGGCCATTTGTGCTTGGTGCGCACTCGATCGCTCCCAGGCACGGGAAGCGAGGCCGTAACCAGATATGTTACAAGACGAGCATGTCAACCAAACAATGTTCGTATAAAATGTCCCCACTTAGTAATCACCTTTCCCATATTCATCGTGTTTTTGTCACTGTGTTCACCATGTCCGATAACACCATATTTCACATCATTCCCCTTGTAATTACTTGCCATAATTTCCTCGCTCTCACACACTTCCCTACGCTAGACAATCACTTGTTGAATAACCTTGTCCTTTAGATTGCATCTCTGTATGGCTGAATCATGTCTGTATGTTTAACCCATAGTTTCCTGGCCCCCGGACTTCCACATTGCATTACTTACAAGACCAATCAATTGTCCCAGGCTCTTCCACTAGGGTTCAAGCTTGTCCTTCTGTGTCTTGACCTTCATGTTCCACGGCCACACTTGGTCCCTTGTGTTGAACGTCCGTTGGATGCACCGTCCCCTCGTCCTATGTTTTAGCTTTGTGCGCTACCAATGTGCATGCTTGTGTAGCTGTCTCCACATCGCCCGCGAACTATTCCACAACTAGTTTGGCGACCTGAATACAGAGGAGTTAGTAGCCTCGCTGCTCTCCTCTGTCAAAGAAAGATGTGTGTCATTGTGGATCTCCACCGCCAGCTCGACTGTCCTGGCAAAATACCTGGGTTCCTTTGCTTGCATTTTGCGCAAACAGTTCAACAACGCCTGGTGGAACCATTCCACGAACCCAATGCATCCAGTTGGCTGCCTTCGACCCAGGCGGGAAATCCCACACACCCTAGTACTTTAGCAGCGAGGGCATGCAAGAACCCCACACATAGTAATCCAGGGTTCCCTGCCTGCCATAGCCCAAAACAATGGCCCCCGCCCTTCATTCTCACCCACCGCAGAGCAACCAACAACAGACGCTGCCAGCCACCAAGCGCCGATGCCAGGAGCGCTGCCAGCGGCGAACCTGCCACTCGCCGTGCAGATTGCAAATAACGCCAGTGCTGAAGGGGCCGTTTTCAGCGAACATGGCTCAACCTGCCAGGATAGGAGGGCTTTTTGGTGCATGCAAGGGAGCAGATTGGGGGAGGAAGGGAAACGCTTAAGAAATCCGACATATTCAATCAAGGAGGCCGCTATCAGCTCCCTAGTTCAACGGAGCAAAGCATTGTCCATGATTTGTTCCATGAAAAACCATTGTATTGCCACAACCCAACCACCTTGCTATTATGCATTGGAACCCACAAATTCACAAATTCGGTATCATCAAGCTGCCTTAACCCATTGTTTGCAAGTGCCAAGCACAGGAACTCCTAAGATGCCATCAATCTCAAGGGAATCAGTGTTGTCCAATTCGTGCCTGCAATCGTCATCCACATAATCCGCGGGGTGCATGACGTTCGTTGACATGTACGTGTGAACATGCATACATGCTTGCGAGCACTCCCATCTCTTTTAGCGTGGACAACAAAGTAGATGTCACGAACAGGGATCCATTTGTGTACCTCTGATGGGATGTTCCACTGCTCTACCAAAACGCCAACCCAGCCCAACACGGTAATCCAACCCCTTCTTTAAGCACCATTCCAACCAACACACCCCACCACTGTTGTGTGGAAGGGCACCCAAGGGGTTGGACTGCCTTCTTCCTTGCCCCTGGTCAAGTGGTTTGGCGGAGCAGAGGGACATCCCACCCAGAGGGTACCCTGTTCGATCCCCGGCAGGACATCCTCTCCCGCCCTTACTAAAACAACCACAGCGTGGACGACAGCACGGGGGGGGGGCGCTGACGTGGCACAGCTGACCTCGTATCGCCGCCAGCGCCCAGCCGTGTCCCCTTCCACCCACCACCACCACTGGGCGACATCCCCCTGGCTTCCTCCATTCACAGCACCGGCCTCTCGCCGCCCCACGCCGAGGCTCCACAGCGCACCACGCGGAACTCCGCCTCAAGCCCTTAGAGCCACTCCAAGCGCAGAGCAACGTCTGACGCGAAGGCACTCGATCGCCTTTCAAGCGATCCTCCCAGCCCGCCATTACGTCCCCCAAGCGCGAGCCCGCAGCAGGCGCCCACGAGGGGCCCTGCCGCAAGAGTGCAAAACGCGCTCGCCCCCTGCTTGCATCGACTTTAACTGCACCCCGTACGGCGCGTGGCCTTGGGCGCCCCACAGTACCCATTTCAATGCCTACTTTTGGCTCCTCGCGGATGCCATTCGAGGCCAGTTGAGAAAATGGCTGCCTGGGCATCCCAATGCAACGCGACGCTCGCGCCGATTGAAGGATCTTCTCTCTACTCCGGGGCACCTGCGCCTATCCAAGGAGCCTCTTCTAGATCTGACGGGCTGACAGCGGCTCCAAGGAGCCTCTCATTGTTCTCAGAGACGTGCAGCCACTCAAGGAACTTCTGCCTGATCTGGATATCTCACCGCAATCAAAAAGCCTCTTCCTGCTGCGGAAGACGCACAGCCATCCGAGCGGTCTCGTCCCACCCCCGCGCAGCACCTCTGCTCGCGCCCTTCCGCTCACCTGTGCGATTGCCTCCACCTCCCCCCCCCCTACCCCCCCATACCTCCGCCTCTCACTCTGACTCAACAACGGATCACATCCAAAGTGCCGCCCTTCTTGTGGGCTGCTCCTTGATCCTCATGGGCTGCCCCTGGGCGAAGAAAAAGGTGCCGGCCGCACAAACGCTCGGGCAAAGGACCGAACGCGATCGAGCCGCGGAGCATGCTCTTCTTCAGGCAGCAGCCAAGTAGTTAAGGTCGTGACTGCAAAATAGCCCCTTGTTGGCGTTCCCCTTCGCGGTTCTTCGCTCCTTTGGCTCGTGCTGCCCTGCGCGCCTTGATGGTGCACTGTGCGAGAAATCAACCGGCAAAAAGGTGTGCCTGGGGAGGGGCTCGAACCCACGACCTGGAGTGTTCAGTGTAAAGTACACTGTGAAGTCTCCCGCTCTACCGGACTGAGCTACCCTGGCGTGTTGAGCTTTCTGCATCAAGTCTTATATTTCGAATACCCTCTGGCGAACATCTCGTTCAGTGAAGTCTCGATTGTCACTGCTCAGGCAAGCCCACAAATTCGCCTGTGAAAGGTAAGCCACATTGTGGGCCTAAAGTGTCTGGCGCGCAAACCTTAGGCCTCCAAGCTACGAATTACACTTCTCTTGTGGGAACACCAAACCACCTCATATACAAGGCGATGGACGGCTGAATGCGGCACCAAGACTAGCGCATCAATTGCATTGTAAATCGCAGCGCATAAAATATTAGTAATTGCTGGCACTGATGCAGGCTGGTCAACTATTATCTCCCAGTTACGCGAATGCCTGCGACTGGGCATGGAACCAGGGAAAGCAAGGCCGAATGTGACCAGAGAATGAGCTCAAGTTCAGCTTAGAACAGAAAACGGTAGCTGCCATGCAGCCAAAAGCAAAATGCACGACGGCGACGGGCCAAGCGTTGGGGCCAGGCTATGGCTGCGCAGGGATCTGTGTAATTGCACCAAATTTGCACTACATGTGGGAGGAGCATTTTGCTCAAAAGCTGTATTCGCGACAGGCATACCAAGCGGCTTGGGACACAAACGTCAAGCGCTCTTTTCTTGGAGTCTGCGACTGTTTGCACGTCAGGTAAGGAGATTCTGGCTGGGTTGTCGTCGTTCGGGCACAAAATCTTGGGTGAGGCTTTGGATGGGATGCGCTGTCTATGAAAGGCACCATGTCGAGGGCCGCATACAGTGGCGATGTATGCTGATCGATGCATAGCAGGGGCCATTGAAGATCAGGGGGCTTGCTGCTGCCGGCCTGGTGGATCCCGAACAATTGTGTCCATTCTTCGGACGCTGGACAAACGGGAGTGTGCAGCGTGGAGATTGGGTGAGAGCTGGGAAGCGCATTGGCTGGTTTGGTTGCGGTTTGTGAGTATGCGGCAATCTACCGTTCCGCATTGCCAATAGGGAGCGACTATCGCGGTGCTGCCCAGTGGTTAGGTCCAACAAAAAGCTTGGTGCATTTCAGGACTCTTGTTGATGACCATATTGCCGAGGCCAATTCTAGGGCTTCTGATTCGATTTGCTTGCACAGGTGGGAGGCGCACTGCCGCCACTCTGACAAGGCTGTTTTCAAATTATTGCGGGATTGCCATTAAGTGTGGAGTTACGTGTCATTCTCAAGTAATGCGCCATCATTAGCCACTGAAGCGGCATGGAATAGCCTCAGATTCCCTCACGGAGTCTATGCTGAATGTGCTCTAGAAGCTGAGCGTGGTGAAATCCAATACGCACCGTCCCGTTGACCAACAGACCGGGCAGGAAAGTCAGTCAACGAATTCACACTCAAAATTAACCAAAGACTTGCAGATCACATCGAACCACACTTCGCAACGTTTCTCTCAGTACAAGCAAACTCTCAGGCCAAACGAGTGGAACAAAAACACACCCTCGCGATCTCACTGTAGGCAAGCAAACTTGCCAAACTCGTGGAAGGGCATCAAACACAAGGTCCACAAGTCGCCACGACATCCGCCGCTCCCTTTTTCTGAACGACGTTGCAACTTCGTAGCCTCCCACAGCAGCGAAACAAAAATAAACACACTGCCCCAAAATTGTACGCCTTATTCCGTTCGTGATACATCAGCGCGTCATCATATTCAAGACATAGCTAACCTGGCGAAATATTTGTCTCGTGCTGAGCAGCAACCCGGTAGGTGCCCGTCATGTCTGTGCCCTTTGACCAATATC